TTTTTTTTTTTTTTTTTGAGGTAGAGTCTTGCTCTGTCACTCACGTTGGAGCACAGTGCTGCAATCATAGCTCACTGTAACCTCAAACTCTTGACTCAAGCAATCCTCCTGCCTCAGCCTCCCAAGTAGCTGGGACAACAGGTGGGTGCCACTGCACCTGGCTAATGCAATAACTTTTCTATAGAGGTATTTATAGCCTCTCAGATGATCAGGGCCCCTTGGCTTGATTTGGGCAATTAATTTATATGAAAGTCCCTTGAAACATCTAGAAATACAAAAAATTATAAAACTCTGCATTAACATATAAAGAATTCAATTTCTGTTTCCATCTGGGTTCAGAGTCTTTCCTCTTGTACTAGAACTATATTGCGGTCACTGTGAAACTGGTATCCCTGCCTCTCACCTACCCCATTCCAGTCCATCTTATTTACTACTGCCTGATTGATTTTTTGAAAGTACCATTTACTTCTGTATGTCCTTTGCTCATAAGTCATTGGGAGTACTTTATTATCCATAGGATAAAATTCAGACTCCTTAGCACGGCATTCAAAATCTCCATGCTTTAGCTCTAACCTAATCTCTCTCCTTCGTACTGACTTCTTCCCTACCAGAACACCAGGCAGTATTCCCCATTTGAAACACCCACTCTTTCTGGAACATTTTCCCATCCTCTTAGTTCTGTTCATGCTATTTCTTTTTCTCCATCAGTCTTTCCTTTTCTTCCCTGATCTAGAAAGTGAACTCTCTCTCCTGGCCTCTCAAGTTGCTCTTAGAGTAGTTTATCTGCTTTATTTCTAAAGCACTTTTACCATTCTTCTTGGATATTTTTGGTATGTGTCTTACCCCTTGGATTGATTATAATTTTTTAAGGTTAAGAACCTTTTAGACAGCCTTTGTGGCCCATAGAGTACTGAGCATATCGCAAGCGTTCAGTGTGTATTTTCTGATTGACTGAATGATCACTGTTGATTCCTTTAGATGAAATGATATCACTGCACTATATCCTGGGCTATATACAGAATCATCATTTGCAAATAGAGATAGTTTTACATCTTCAGTTCCAATTTGTATGCCTTTTATTTCATTTTCTTGCCTGATTGCCCTGGCTAGAAATTCCAGTACAGTGTTGAATAGACATAGCAAGAGTAGACATCCTTGACTTCTTCCTAATCTTAGTGAGAAAGTGTTAAGTATGGTGTTAGTTATGGGGTTTTTGTAGATGTCCTTTAATGTAAATAAGATCACACTAAGCATATTACCTGCTATAAAAGCTTTAAGGAATTTTGATTACTTTGATATAAGTAGTTCCTTCTGCGAATTAATAGTCTAATCCTGCATGCTTATTTAGCAGTTTTAGTGGACTCTTATTTGACTAAATCCAATCATTAAAATTTAATCATTTTAACTGTTGTTTTTAAAAAGCAACATTTTATTGTAAAAAGATTGAGACTTTCCCATTTAGACTTGATACTTCATCCCATTAATCAACATTGATGGAATTGTTTTTACCAGAAACTATTTGGTACAAC